ACAGAGAGAGAGAGAGACAGAGAAGAGACAGAGAGAGAGAGACAGAGAGACCAGTCTGGACCTAAAATGGGGATGTTGTGTTTTATGGTCATTGCCAATACTTTCTGACTTCCCTACTCCGTCTGTGATTCTCAGCCCATCGGTCTTTTATTCCTACTGAAGACGTAAATCTGTAAAAAGCTGGTTACAAATGTATACTTTGTGTATACTTGTGTTACATGAAATGGATGTGAACAAACTCGCAGGTTTGTTGGTGATTTTCACCCAGCATTGCGATGTTTGTTAGCCTGGGAACTAGATGAATCTGCTGAGCTCATTGGCTAGCTTAGCTTTGTTTGCTCCGGCAAATGCATCTGGCCACCCTTGCATTCGAACTGAATTCCACCCATCCCGGATCCGGAAAACGAAAATGAACTGAAAGGTTTCGAATTAGTCTGGGGAGGTCAGGCTAGAGATTTGTTACTAGAAGGTCGCTGCACCAACGGTGGACCAGCACTAAATAAATACTTATTTTTATATTACTGGTTTTGTCATTGTTGTTGCTCCTACTGTTATTCAGGGTTGGCCTTTTTAGTAATTTGAGGTTTTGTTTAGCTTAGTATCCCTATTTAAATAAACAACATACCAATGACATTTAAAAAACATCCTTGGAACGATTATTGACTTGACTTGAGAGCTTTCATCCCTGCAATCCTGGGTTTTCATTGACAGTGTCTGAACAGAAGTGTGGTGACAAGATCTTAGACCTTTATACAGTTTAATGAAAAGATCAGACATTGCACAGCTAACATTTTATTTCATCTGTGATTGCCAAAGGATAAAGAATTTGAGTCAACACATCCAAATCATGGTTTTAATTGGCCTAAAAATCATTTATTGTGTCCCCAGCCGATTTTTAAACCCCTGTGCTATTACCATCAAGCTGTGCCCCGGATAGCCTCGTTCAGCTCTTCATGCACTGTATATCTATCCTCATAAAAATTACAGTGATTTCTAAATGCACGTTTCCATTTATGGCAATAATTGACCCTCGCAGGCCCCTATTGGGACCCCCTGCCCTGTTGCCATAGAGATTCTCATATGTAACTCAGCAAGGTTGAAGTTCACAAATGAAATCAACAGTTCTCTCAAGTGAGATTTTTATGCAAGAATAACTATATAAGTGGTTTTTGAAACTCAACTCTGTATGTTTAAGTATCTGTACATGTATATTTACTGCAGCCCTCTGTCGCTGTACACTTTTGATTTGTGACTGAGACACTGAGTGAGTGAGAAACAAAAGTTGTGTCCTTTAGGCAAATTATAACTCGTCATATTAACATTACATTATGTTCTACAAAGGCAGCTTGTAGAGAGAAGAGCAATCTTGTGAGCTTTAAAACAAGTTACACTATAAGCAGAAGTTTACCTGTGAAGTTTTCTAAGTTTATGTAGGTTATCCACCAAAAACAAACAAACAGCCCAGGAATGCAAACATTTTTAGGCTGGAAATTTCCTTTATTATGTTTGTAATTCAGATATATTATATTTTCTTTCCTTTGTCTCAATCTTGTGTGACTGTTGCAGCCATAGGAGGACAGGCGTAACAAGTTTGAGGTTGCTAAAGTTCTTGTGTAAACGCAACTTTAACTAATTTAATTTTGGTGTTCAGCTAATTTCATGAAAAACTAAAAAGAAATAGTTTGACATTTTGGGAAATATGCTTATTTCCTTTCTTGCCGAGAGTTAGATGTGTATGTCAATACTACTCTCATATTTGTCAGTTAAATATTAAGGCTACAACCGTAACACAGTAACATCAAATGTAATTTTTATACTTTGGTTGTTGTACAGATTAAACCGATATATCACGTGAGCTTTAGAGGTGCTGGTAGACAGATTTTGTTACCTTTAGACAGAGCCAGGCTAGCTGTTTCCCCCTTTTCCCCAGTCTTTATGATGCTGTCACCATCTGCTGTCTGTAGCTTCATGTTTATCATGCTTTTAGACATGGAAGTGGTATGAACCTGTTCTTTTTTTATTCATACTCCATATTTGTATGCTTATAATTTGTAACATTTGTGTGGTATTGATCTTCTCATCTTACTCTTAGAAAGCAAAACAAGTGTATTTCCCAAAGCAAAACATTCCTTTAAAGCTTTTAACACCAAAGTTAAAAAGTGGATATGTTTTTATGTGATATAATGACCAAAGCTCACCTGCAGGAATGATCCCTATGCGTAGAGAACACGGCACCAACTCAGCATCTGGTTGGTTCTGGTCCACACCACTGTCTGTTTGGGTCCTGGTGACCAACCCATGCAAGATCTCACTAAACATCCCATCTCCACCCACACACACCACCCTGGACGGACAGATGATACAAAAGACAAACAATTTACACACAAGTTTAACATGGCTTCTGTGTTGAGGATAGTTTCAGTTCATACAGGTAGCCTGGCTGGATGCCACATAATGAGGTCAACTTCATGTAAATGTGTTTGCAAGGAAGCACAAATTTGAGGAAAAATAGCCACATAGCCAAAAAAACTTCACAATAACACAACTGGGCAGCAGACGTAATTCAAAAAACCCTTCAATAAATAAGAAAATCATGCTGTGCCACCGAGCATTACACCTTTAAGTCTATATCAAAACCTTACAGAAATGGACCTATAAATAATACGAACTGCAGAGTAAGGGCATAATGGACTCTAACCCTGCTCTGCTGGACAGAATATCTGATGAATAGAAGCAGGAAGACAGCGGGGCACTCGGCAGGAAAAACCTTTCATGTTATTGATGCCCTTCATATTCGATCAGCTACATTTTATTCTTACATACTCCCTTTACTCAGCTGCAGCATCATGAACAATTTGTGTTGATAACATAAACCTATGTGACTTATGTGAGTGATTTATAGATTATGGATTTTACAGTTATTGTAGGTGGTTCTAGGGAATAGAATCAACTACATCCCAAAAAGTATTTTAAAATGTGGAAATTTAAAATTCTGTACAGCTTACAGATGTTCTGTTGTCTCAAAGTCGAAGATTTATTTTAAGGGGCGTCCTGGTAGCTCACCAGGTGCCAAGGCTGAGTCCTTGCTGCGGCTCCAACCTGTCATCCCCCCTCTCTTCCCCTTTCCTGTCACTCTACAACTGTCTCTATCAATTAAAGGCAATACCCCCCACCCCCAAAAAACCAATAAAATATAAAAAAAAAAAAGGAAAGGATTGAAGGGAAAGGTTTACATTTGCTTTTTTTTGCTTGGAATGTCTCAACAACTATAGGACTGATTACCATGACATTTGGTACACACATCTATGTTTCCTTAAATTTGTCAGGTCAGAATTTTACCTTAATCTGAGTATTCAGAAAGTGGAAATCCTATCGGCCACAGCTGTACTTTGTATTAACTGCTAATTGACAGTTGTTAGCATGCTAACAAGCTAAACTAAAATGGTGAACATGGTAAACATTATGCCTGCTTAACATCATCATTTTAGCATCTTTATTTTGAGCATGTAAGCATGCTGACAGCACTGCTCAAAGTACAGCCTCAAAGAGCATAGCATAGCCATTATTCTCTTGTTGTGCTTTTACTGCATTTGTGATTTAACTTCATTAAATAATTTGCTTAAATAGCATATCTTGGTTTGTGTATTATTATTATTATTATTATTATTATTATTATTATTATTATTATTATTATTATTAGTGATTGGTTTGAAACTTTATTTGGAGCCACACTAAAATATGAAGTTGAAGTAAAAAGTTTCAACAAAACAGAAAGGATCCCATCTGTCTGCTACACTACCAGCATGTTTACTGATCGTTATCTGCCACATGTTGGGATATCCTGATGTAAATAGAGTAACACTGATCAAAATTCACAAAAGGAAATTCAAAAGAAATCCAAGTTTGTACAAGAAAATGCAGGACAACATCTGTCATCACAATGACACCGGTTGTTAAGAATGAGAAATGATGATGGTTTGTCTCAGTGATTACAGTTTGACAACACAGATTACAGGGCCTCATAACAAGCTCCTAATATGCAATAGCTCATGGCAGAGTCTCTCAATGGCATTGTTATAATATGAACAGACGAGTCAACTTCATGTCACAGTGGAGAACCAGTGTTCAAAGTCTGAAAGCAGCAGTTACCTAGCTTGAGTACTCACCCGTCATATTTATCTAGATTGGCCTCTGTTTTCAAGTGGTCTCTGGCATGATTGGCCCGCTCTGTAACTATGGAAACAAATGAAACAGCTAGCATTAGTTCAGTGAAAGGGAATCTACAGACAAAATAACTAGACTCTTTGTGGCTTGACTACTGGCAACAAGCAAGCTATTACTGGCATTTTGAAATACAAGACAAGGAAAATTACTGCACTTTTGAAACATTCACGGCAACCTGTCATGCAGATTAATGTTCAGAAAAAGCAAAGTCACAGTGGCACAAAACAACCTAATTCAACTATTGTATATTAGCTCGCAAAATGAGCCCTGGGCCCACACAAACAATAAACAATATTTCAACAGTAAATCTGTTTACCAGGCATATAATATCAAGACAAATACAATCCTGCAACTTATAGCAGCTGTAGGAAGCCCAGAGTGAATAGTATTCACTCTGATGGACCATCAATACCCCAGACTATGTGTAGCTGTAGCAAACACTTATTGAATAATAGATGTGTTTGGATACCTAAGCTTATCAACTATCACAGCTTCCATTAAGGTGGTGGCGTGATTAATGGCACTATAAGCCAAATCATATCCTTGCAAGCCTCTTCGGTCCCTGCGAGAGGCCACAGCGGCAGTGGAGATCTATATGGCGGCCATCGAGGCTCATTTTTTATTTAAATGTTAAAAAACACTACGGATAGGAACCCACCAATCACGTCGGCTGAGATGCAGGCGCGGCGAAACAGTGGAGCCACCTTCTGCTCGTAAATACGCTTCCCGCGCCGTTTTCCCCCGTAGGGATTGATGTATACCAGAAGGCTCTTCGGTCGGTTGGCTGCAAAGTGAGGAAGGGGTATGAGATAGTCATTAAAAAGGCTCAGTGTTTACCTTTTTTATAAATGTGTAACTGGCAGCAGCTTGATGAAGTTTTCATTAACCAGAGACCTTTCTCAAAATGCTCAGTCAAACTGACTGGTGCCCAAAACACGCTGCTCAAGAAATAAATGGTGTGTCTACTGAGTATGGGAGGAGTGTGAAGCAATTCAGAGGTGCTGCATCATTGGGTGATAAACCAACAAAGCGCTGCGATGGAGAATACTAAATGGCTTGTTTATTGCTGTTGTGGAAGACTGCGTTTAGGACAACAAACTGAGATACAGCAGCTGTTCAAATTGAAAATGAATGGATTGGGATCAAGTGTTAAATGAGCACAAAGAAATATAGGGTGCAATATTGTTTGGCAATAAGACAAAAGTTCCATTAGATTACATAAATGGATTGTCAATGGGTGATGTAAAGGTGTACTGTGGCGGAGACTAGCACTATTGAACACACTAAGGCTTCATCTTCACAATGAATGTAGTTAATTTTCTTGAATTGATTCATCCTGCCAGGCTAATTGAGGCCAAGTAGACCATTTCAAATCTCACACTCTAATTTCCACATGCTACATGCACACTAAATCTTGTAGAACCACTTTGCAATCATATAAGTGTAAAACACTGTGTTTTGCACCCAACTACGTCAAAAATGTAATACGTTGTGACCGATAGCGTAATCATATTTCCATGATGATGTAATATGTTACTATATCATTGGAAAACCTATTAAATTCCTTACATCTGCAGGTTTATCATTTTCCCCCCTAATGTATGATGTAAACATTTTGATGGATGATGTGCTGTTATTAGAGCACATCTGGACAGTAAGCCAGACTCAAGCAATGTTACAGACATCATCTTCATGCTTCACGTCTAGGGCAGCCAAAGGGTATTTTTATACGACAATAGACTCTTTTAATGTGTGAAATACCACCATTTATATGTTTTATCAGACTGTTGTGGCTAGATCCATTCTGTATGTTTGTGCCTGTGTCTAGAAGAGAAATGCAGGAGGGGAACGTCTATGGTAGGTTTGCCTCTGGGCTCTCCTGAGGACACTGATACTACTGAAGAGAATGACATTTCTTTTTACAATAATGCACACTTTCTTTTTTTTTCATGGCTTTATTGGATGGGACAGCTGTAGAGGGACAGGAAATGGGGGTAGAGAGAGAGGGGATGACACGCAGCAAAGGTCCTAACCGGGCGCCCGCACACTTTCTATACAGTCTGGTTGAAGGGTAGAGAAGCTATTAAAGGAATATCTATCTATCTATCTCATTCAGCAATAGATCTTGAATAATAACTTTGTAAATTGTAAGGGATTGTACTTAAATGATTGTAATTTAAATGCTATTTTATACTTCTAGTCCACTACATGTTGGAACCAATCTTACTGTGATGTCAGCTTGGTTTCATTATACTAACCAGCATGTGGAGTTATAAATATGGCAATATGACATTAATATAGCTTAAACCTTTAATGGTTTGCTCAAACATTTGATGAAGCTGTCGATATTTAGTTGTAAAGTTATGTGTACTCTAAACAATCTTTTCTACATTAAAGTAAATTAAAAGACCCTACCCTACCCCAACCCTAACCCTAACCCTAACCCTTTGAAACAGAAACCTGAACTGAATAACCATAACCTAATCCCTTTTATTACAGGTTCCTGGTCTTTGTGATATGAATCTGTAAACTGTTAACTTATTTCTATCATTCCCTATTGGTTTGCCTCAAACACTGTTAATGTAGGACACAATAAAAGCATCTATTAAGGATTTCAGCATGTGAAGTTACTGGAAGCAGTGTCATGTAGGTATAGTGAGTGAAGAGAGAAGTTCAGGTTATCCTCGGGTGTGACAATAACTTATGTTACATATTGTTTTGTGGTATCCCATTTAAGTAGTCCATAAACAACTCAGAAAAAGGATGGCATTGAATATCCCACGTGCACATTGCTGTCAGCGATTTTTGATAAATGTTATAATTGTCTGAAAGCTGGTTCCCTCCATGCAGAACTATACTGTACAGCATCTTCCAGTCCACCCTCTCCATTAAAAAACAAAACAAAAACAAGTCTTAATGTTTGACATGTACCAAACATTCCCAGAATGTCCCTATAGGAGACAGTGTGTGTATTTCCCACTATCAGCTTAATCAAGTGTGCTTCTTTCGTGTAACCAATATACTACTGATTGCACTTTTCTTACAGGCCTTTATTGCCCTTTGGCTCTGTGCAGTGCAGACTGTGTGTACAGCAAATAAACATGTATTTGTGGAAGGACTCACTGAGCATGTGGCACTTTTATGGCACCTAGTCAATAAATGTATTCTGATTATGTTCTGATTATGTTCAAAGTACGTACAGAACATCATTAAACAGCACGTACCGAGTAATGACAGTTGCTCATTGATAACTTGGATCCACTGCTCGCAGAGTCCCTGATTGGCACACTGGAAGGTGATATCACTACACCGCCACTGGTGCTGCCTTGTCCTTCTGACGTAGGAAACTGGAGAGAAACAAAACAGAAGGAAGAAAACGAGTGTGAGAAAAAGGAAAAAAACATGCCTTGCCATTATGATTGTTTCTATTTGTCATAGGTGTCCTCAGAGGTAATGTGAGAATGGAAAAAACAGCAAAAGAAAGATGGTATCATCAAAAGACAGAATTCCTCATCTGATTCCATGTGATAACATCAAATGTGCTAAATAAAGCCTTGCCTTCCCAGATAAGAATCACTGTCAAACAGCCATCATAGTTTGTGACCTATAATAGTATTTTTGGGCTGTAGGTCATGTATTTTTAGGTCAGCAGACAGGTATTTTTCCATTTATTCATTTTGCAGTGAGTACATACAGTACTACCTGGCTACCACACAGACTTGGCCTGAGAATTAACCCAGGCTTTATGCTTACCAGCCAGGTCAGTCAGATATGTGAATGAGTAAAGAAATGAGGGCATGTTGGAAAAGAAGTAGTCGGTTAAGTAAAACACGGCTCTGATGATAGTCAGACAAAAAATAGAAATGGAGTCTCTAAATATCCTGCTAGGGAACATTACTGAAATATTTACATTAAGGACCAAAAATTCACTTACTAAGCACTCTGACAGCAGATTCACTCACTAAGCATTTCAAAGTCAAATTATCGCACTAAGCATTCTTTTCATCTGATAGAAAAGTTAACTTTCCAGGCAAGTTCTTCAGTCCAAATCGCTTACAGTACCTCGTACTTACAGTGGGGCAGGCAGGGAGACGTTCGGAGTGGGTGTTAAATCATCCTTTAATAAGTTACATAATCGGGATGTAAGTGATGGAACATGTCTTTGAAGCCAAAGTTTCCACAGATTGTGGGAATGCAAGTCGAGTCAGGCTTGACACACTCTAATGCCAGTAAAAGCTCACATTAGTGAGGTAATTTTTAACATTTCCTGTGATAAATAATGTAAATCCGATCTTGTTTGGATATAATCTAATGGCTCAAAATTAAGCATTAGCCCGTAAGTCACTGGCATGCTGCCATCTTAGACCCAGTCAGCTAAGCTGTGAGGGGCTCTCTTGTTAATGCATTACTTTCAGACTGTGGAGCTGTCTACAGGCTTATTTCTAGTGTCAGATAACTTCTGATTGGTGGAGTTCAACACAAGCTCTTGGCACACTTACCTAAAATGTAACTGTGATGTGGCTTTAACCTACTACAGTAAAATGAAAGTGACAGTGATGAAAACTGCCTTCAGGCATTGTTGTTAGAAGGAACAAAAGACACTGCATCTGTTTTCCTAAAGGAGCACTTCAGCGATTAAATACTGCACTTCTATAAAGATGGAGGACGTGTGAAAGACAAATAAAAAAAAAAAGAATGATAAAAGTCAATGCAGTGGAAGCTGAAATATCCTTTTAGCTTTTAGTCCCTTACATGGGTCAAGCGCCAAAAGTTACTTCCCATGATGCAGCTTGTCGTTATCTCCTCCATAGACATACGCAGAAGATATTATACATCTGTTTTCAGAGGCTGAGTAGTACTCACTGTGACAAGTTGACTGACTTTGACGTGTAAAATCAGTGGAATGTCCTATAAGTGTGTGTAGCAGTGTAGGTTTTATACCTGTGAATGCATGGGGATACAGCGGGGAGAGCTGCTTTGCTTTTTTCTGTCTCCTCTCGGTGTCCGTGTTGTCTTGGCCACCATCTTCCATCTTGTGGACAGCCACTATTTCACACACCTGGACAGCATGGCTGTGTGCTGGAGAGACACAAATAAATTAATATTTTACTCCACTGCATTACACAATAACCAAAGCATGATGCCCTTTGCTAACACAGTCTGTATAATAAATTCTTACATGTACATGGAGACACATTGATAAGCAAAGCAACTGTGGAATTGACTATAAGAAGTATTGGCAAATTGCACTGTTCACAAAAGCATTCATAATTTTGTTAAGATCATTAAAGCTGCAATAATCAATATTTGTGTTTTAACAATGGGTCACATGGCCATGTGTAATGTGAACGGGTTCACTCAGAGAGACAAACCCACTAAGAATTATCACCTGACTCTGCAGTTCCCTAAGCTCCACAGAGCTCGTTTCAGATCATTGTTTTGGTTTTATGGCCCACAACTTTACTGTTTATTGTTTAGGTTCAGTCTCGAGGCTCTCATCAGCCTAATTCCCAGATCTAACTGGCAGCCATTTTAGTGAAAAAGCTCAGATACGCTTCCTGCTCAGCACCAAATGGCACACAGACAAAGTTGATCACATGCTGATAAAGAGCCAACCAAAACAGAGCTAAAAGTAGAATGAATATCAGAGTATTATTAATTAAATGACACTTGCTCTGTGTAACAAGTTAGCCTCACTTCAAAGGTGGAAGGATAATATGGCAGTGTTGTGTTTAGAGCTTGTTTCCACATGCCCTCAAGAAGCTAAAAAATTATTAAGTGAAGGTTTAAGAAAGTGTAGGTGTCCTATTAAACATCAGCTTTAGTTACAAAGGTATCTTGTGTTAAGATGACCTTAGAATGGCAGCCTATCATTGATTTAACAAACTAAAATCAATGGGAGAAATAACACAGCCATATCCCGAGAGAGCTGGTGAGTGTTTGGGAAGGAACTGCATCTTCTTGTTCTTCTTTCCCCACGGGAACGGGATTCAAGTTGCCAGTTTAAAATGACTTTGGGATAAAAGACTTTGGCAGCGTTTGAATGGTCTATTCATTAACAGAATTTGTCAAGTATGGTGTGATCCGGTACCTCCTGGCAGTGAAAAGATGGGGTGGGTCACTGCCTTAAAGAGCTGCTTAGTGACATCAAAGAATTTAACAGGTATTAATTTACTGTTTTAAAGGCAGAGATTGGAAAATTAAAAGGGAATTGTCAGGAAATTTTTTTTTCTTCCACATCTATACTCTTGAGTGAGGAAAAGTTGGTCATACTATGAAACAGAGGGTGAATACAGATGAAGGCAATGAAATCATCAAAGAACACCTTAAATATTCAAGATATGGACTGTAAAAACTTAATTCCAGGACCGCGATGCTATAATATGATATAGCTTTCCCTCGTGAACCATTTCAATATTTAAATCCAGAAATCCTGAGCATTTGAGCACAAAAGATAGCTACGTTGCTAATGGAAAACAAATTCAAAAGTGCACTTTGTACTAGGAAAGGACAATATTACTTGCAATGAGTTTAACTGACCTCTTCAACTGCATCACATACAGACATTCCAGTCTCTCCTACAAATGTATTCAGCTGATATGGTGAAATGGATGGGAGGGAGGCATGACATATTATTTCTCTCCTGGGAGTCTGAGGGAATAGGATTTCATTTCCTTCTCAAATAAAAATGATGCGCCATGCAGGCATGAATAACTTTATGGCCATCGATATTCACACTTTGACAAATAGGAAGAGTTATGGCCATGTGGGTAATGGCTTTATTTCAGAAAAAAAAAGAGAATGAGGAGTTTCATTCCAACTATTTGAAAAATGGCATCTAGTGCTCTGCCAAAGTGATTGTTGGTGTTGAATTAGAATATGTAATGGAAATACTGAAAGTTATTGTGACTTATAGATTCCATCCATTTTCTAAACAGCTCATCCTGTTAAGCCATGTAACAGTACACACAAGTAATATCTAGAGTTCTCAATTCACCTCACCGAGAGTGGAAATAAAAAAAACCCAGTACTGTAACTTTGAGGTTCTGGGTCACCAGCTCTGTTAAAGGTGCCTTTAAGAACCTCCAAAGCCTTCACAGACATACACCATATCTTCAGTAGAACACATTTAGAAATAGAAAATAAGACAAAACATTGTGTTTTGACAAGCAGCCAGCCTCTTCTTTAGAAGTATTAACTTGCCATGTACAGTTAGCTTATCATTAGCACCGGTGACTGCACGCAGCACAACTGAAGTCCTCACAGTGAAGCTGCTTAAACTCGAACTCTATAGAAAACCCTGGTGATTCTTGAATGTAGGCTGAACAGTGGCTACGTTAGTAAGCCAGCTATGAAGACACAACATGTAAAAAAGATACATTTGGATTTATCGGGAGTCTCATTTCTCCACTTTTGGTAGCCCAGTTTCTTTGTTAAGCTAACATGTACTGGACCAGTCTTTCCAAACTGACCTTCCATCAAACTCCTGATAAAAATGCAAAAAAGTCGACCCCCAAGCTCAATATATATTCGGGAATCATATCACTGTAATGCGTTACAATGTATGTATTATTGCCTTTAACTGTTCATAGGCAATAAAATGTAGCGTTGCTCAATCTATAAGGGTGAAGAGATTTGTGCTATAGCATTATTTGGTCTGGTATGACCAGTAGCTTATAGTGGCTAAGGTTAGCAACCTTCAGATTTTTTTATATTTTATATGTACATATACTGTATATATACTTTTTGACTTGTCATATTATGAAAAGCACAGGGCTTTCTAATAACATTAACAATAGTTTAGGTTCTATTCAAGTGTCCCAGTAAGCCATGCAAGTGTGACAGGGAACTAGGATAAGCAGTACCAGGACCTTGAAGCTCATTGCAACATGTCAAAAAGTCTACAGCCTGTAATGTCTTATTATTGACAATGAGATTTAAGTAAATATATATCACACAGACCAACTACTGTGGATGTTTACAGTAAGTCTTAAGGGAGTATCTTACACAAACAGATCATTGGAGAAGTTCATTCTTTTAGATGTTGATTTAAGCACACCGCATGACACGTGCATGACATTATGAAAAGTAAAACCCAGCTGGGAGATATTACTTTTACTGTTGTTTCTGTTAAGCAACATGTTATACTGATACAGACTTATCACTGAGATGTGCTGACAAAATAGACACAGTGTATTGAGGAGGATGGTCTAACATGTCAAAAATCATTTCATGCAAGCTTACACAGATAAGCAAAAGCAGATTATCTTAAGTGTTATGTGTTGATAGGGGCAACTATAGTTGTAATGAACCCAAGATTACAATACATCATATTAGATTTGAGATAATTCAACATGAAATCTTGCATTTGCTGTTTATTTCATATCTGAGCACCAAACTTGTACCCGAATTGTGCCAAAACACTCAGTGGAATATATTAGAATATCTTATCTTGTATCTTACATATTTACATGTCTGTTATCTTAAGCTCCCCGGTTTACGATGAAGAAAATGAAAAATGCATGAAATATTTTCTCAGTTAGCCTGGTAGGCAAATCTACTTCTGTCAAGGACAAAAAGCCCACATTCATCATTGAGTCAGTACAGGCTGCGTCTCCAGTCAGGTCTGTCCTTTGAACAACTTGGCCAAATTAACCCCGGAAACAAGCTCAAAGCCAACAATCCCAGTGAACTGTGTTAGGGAAGAAACTGGAAACAATAGCTGACATTCCCACATTCTAACACTGCTCCAATAACCCTGCCCCACACACACACACTCATAGAGGCATAAACATAAACACGAGCTCAGATATGCACACACAAGTACACAATAATCCCACACATAGCCACACACAAATTCCCTACTTTTTAGCTCAGTGCAGTCCCAAAGCTACATGCTAAGCCCTCGGCCATACAAGGCAGATCCTCTCTGCTCTGCTCTGACATACTTTTCTTTGTGCTTGAAAAGAATCTTAGCACTGGCAGTCAGCCAGTGTGTGCTGCCTATTCATACCACAGGGCTCAGTGAGTTNNGCTTTTTAGGAACTGGGGAGAAAAAGGTTTATTTTCTAATGTCTGGAGCTTCTTTTGTTGCTGCAAAGCTAAGGTGAAACCTGAGAACACTGATAAAGAGAACTGGTGTCATTTAGGGTAACGTAAAAGTCTATGTCTAGCTTCCATTTCTGCAATCATTTTAGAATGAGTAGCAATTATGCATTTTGCTTTTTTTTTCCAGTCATTTACTTGTTTTTCATTAGTGTAAGAATTCAAAGTCTGTGGCTTGGTACTTCACATTACTGCTGCTTCAGCTATCAGTCTAAGTGAAAGAGGACGGGCGCCGGCATCTCCAAGAGACAAACCACAAATAATCAGTCATGAGGAGGGCAACCCAGATTTAGAGCACAAAATTAAAAACAAACATTAATATTGACGCTTCTACAATATTGGAGGCGTAAGTGATTAAATTTGCGTGACCTCAAGTGTGGCACTTTGTGTTTGTGTTACTGACTCATGATTCCTAGCGAGCCCAGTGTAAACACTTGAGAATGCCAGGTGATATTGATATCAATGTTTTCATATAAAGTCACAGCCGAGTTCTTTATGCAAGTTTTGAATAAAAGATTAATCTCTGACTGTATTGTTTATAAAGAAGAAGGCTGAACGTGCTGTCTGCTGTTTTTACACTTCATATTTTACATGAATTAGACAAACAAGATGTTAGTACTAATTATTAAGCTTTACAGTTGCTAGTAGGTTAATTTTGTTTTTGACACAACCAAGGCTAGCTGTTTTCCCTTTTCCAGAAAGTGAATAAGTGCATTCCTATTTCTATAACATTACAACCTTTGTACCTCTGGATTGAGATCCATTTGGTTCTAATGTTTATCGTTGTGAAATTCACAAAATAATTTTGTCCAACATTTGTATTAGATGCATTTTGGCACACGACTGTAAACAACATAACCTTCTCACGTGAGGAAACTGACACCTGAACTGAAACCTGGCAAGGTAAGTCTAAGTTCAGAGACACAATCACGTGAAATGAGGACAAGGAGCAACCCAAACAATGATTCGCTAAC